AGTTGACAGGTGTTAACTTAGGGGCCTATGAATTTGTCACATCTGCATATAAATAGTACCACCAAATTGCTTAACGTGGAGTTCTAACTATAACTCATTTGACTTTCACAGATGAAAGTAAGTAGAATTTTATGTTCCTGTATAGATTCATATCTGGGGGAAAAAAAGTTTCAATTAAATTAAATAAGGCTTTGTAGCAAAGGTGAAATTACATGATGTACAGTGTATGTTTTTTTTAATTTTTTTAAATCTTTTTTTTTTAATTTTTTTTAAAGATTTTATTTATTTATGTGACAGAGATCACAGGTAGGCAGAGAGAGAGGAGGAAGCAGGCTCCCTGCTGAGCAGAGAGTCCGATGTGGGGCTCGATCCCAGGACCCTGGGATCAAGACCTGAGCTGAAGGCAGAGGCTTTAACCCACTGAGCCACCCAGGCGCCCCCTACAGTGTGTTTTTATTTGGCTTTCCTTCTTAACTCTAAATGTCTTTACCAGAAAATTTTTATGTATCAGAAGGAATTTTTGTACTAATTGTGATGTATTGTTACACAAAAGAAAACTTTTGTAAGTTCATGTGACATCAAAATTATTTTAAAATCCAACATGTTTACTACATTATCCCATTATCTCTGGGCCTGCAATCTTTCTGCCCAAAAAATCCACAAATACCTTTCTAGGGGATCCCTGGTCTGTGAAGGATTTTTTTTCTTTTTGCATCTTCTTAAAAATTTCTGTTATTTTGTATTTGCTACAGTTTATCAGTATTATTACAGGAGCACTGGGAGCTGAAACCTTCCCCTGAAACTTTTATTTTAGTAGCCTATATGCCCAATATGGGGCTCAAACTCATGACCCCAAGATCAAGAGTTGCACACTCTTCTGACTGAGCTTAGCCAGGCACCCCTTCTTGCTGTTTTAAAAATACTCTGTTTCTTTGATTTTAGATAGTTTTATTAGAATGTGTCTTAGAGAAGATCTTTTTGGTTGGTACTTTTGGGGAACCTATAAGCTTCATGAACTTCGATGTCCAAATCTTTCTCCATATTTGGAGATTTCATAGTCATTATTTCTTTAAGTTAGTTTTCTGCCGTCTTTTCCCTCTCTTCTCCTTCTGGGACTCCAGTAATGAATAGATTGTTTCTCTTCACGGTACCACACAATTCAGGTAAGTTTTCTTCATTCTTTTTTTTTTTTTTTTTAAGAATTCCTGTAGGTTTTTTTTTTTTAAGGTTTTATTTATTTATTTGACAGAGATCACAAGTAGGCAGAGAGGCAGGCAGAGAGAGCGGGGGAAGCAGGCTTCCTGCTGAGCAGAAAGCCTGATGTGGGGGCTCAATCCCAGGACCCTGAGATCATGACCTGAGCCGAAGGCAGAGGCTTAATCCACTGAGCCACCCAGGCGCCCCTCTTCATTCTTTTTTACTCTTTTTTCTTTTTGCTCTTCTGACCAGATAATTTCAAATGACATATCTTTTTTTTTTTAATTTTAATCATTTATTTGTCAGAGAAAGAGAGAGCATAAGCAGGGGGAGCGGCAGGCAGAGGGAGAAGCAGGCTCCCCACTGAGCAAGGACCCTGATGGGGGATGCCGTCCTAGAACCCCAGGATCATGACCCAAGCCAGAGGCAGACACTTAACCAACTGAGCCACCCAGGCCTACCTCAAATGAAGTATCTTTAAGTTCACTGATTCCTTCTTGTGCTCGGTTGAGTCTGCTGTTGGTGCTCTCTGTTGAATTTCTCATTTTAGTATACTCAACTCTATTCAGCTTTTCAACTCAATGTATTCAGTGTATTTCTGTTTGATTTTTATGATGGTTTCTATTTCTTTGTTGAAGTTCTCATTTTGTTCCTACATTATTTTCCCAATTTTGTTTGTCTATCTGTGTTTTCTTATTGTTTACTAAATTTCTTTAAGAGGAGTATTTTGAATTCCTTGACAAGTGGTTCATAGATTCTCCAGTTTTATAGGGTCTTTTATTGAGTCTTTATTAGTTTCCTCTAATGGTGTCATGTTTCTTGATTAATTGTGATCCTTGTGGACTTGTATTAGTGTCTGCACACCTAAAGAACCAGTCTTTACAGAGTGGCTTCAACAGAGAAATCCTTCAGTAGTCAGCCTGTCTGGAGATTCTCGGTGAGCCCATTGGTGATGACCATGGGTAGGCTTAGTGCTGGAGTCCACAGGTAGGCAAATTTATTGCCTGGGTCCGCAGATGGACAGGCCTAGTGATTTGGTGCACAGGGGTCAGCCTGCTGCTTGGGTCTACTGGGGTGGGCCTGTTGCTGAGTCCATGTGGGTGGGCCTTAGATCCTGAGTCCTTGGTGATGGATGATGTACCAGGGACCACTAGGGTGGTGGGCCTGACAGCTTAGTCCATGCGAGCCAGCCTGGCTCTGATGTTGGCTGAAAGCCTGTATCCATAGGACCCAGCCTGGAACCTGAGTCAGCTGGATGGTTGCTTGGGGCTGGGATGATCCTGGAGCCTGGGTCCATGGGAGCTGGTCTAGAGGCTGGGGTCATAGTGGCCAGCCTGGTTACATTTCTTAAATCACTGTGGAGACTGAATGTTTGAGATGGTCAGATTTAGGAGGAATCTGAGTTCTCATTTGGCCAATCCCTTCATTTTAAAGATGAGGAACAACAATATAGAAAATAAAATGTGTAATCCAAAAATAATGGAACAGCAGAAAAATAATGACAGAACTGATGTCTCCTGGTCTATTCCAGTGGTTTTTTATTTATACTACTCTGTCCCAGCAAGTAATAGTATCTTAAGAGGTGAGTTTTGTAATTAAGTTGTCTCTGAAGCTCATGATCTTCAACCCCAATAAATAATCCTTTTGTGATATGAGTCTTTCAAGTTTCCCTGACCTCTTAACCCATTTGGAATGACCCATGTGAGCCTAGTTCATATTTTCCGTTCCCTCCCTACACTCGGCGATTAGACTACTATATTCTTTCTGTTTATATTGGCCTTCCATTGCTCTTGGGATCTTTAGACTTGTGTATATGCTTTTCAAACTTCTGTTGGTTTTGTTCTAATATTCTTCTTTTTGTTACAGTTTCTTTTGTTGGCTCCATAATTTTATGTACCAATATATCACATGTTTATAAATTGTATGTATCCATAATATTAATTATTAAAGTAACTTGAAAATGGATCTAGCAAGAACCATGGCCATTATGGGTCTACACTGTCTAACAGATAATCACAATCCGTGTTTCCAGTTCCATTATTTGGGACCCTGTTCTGACCTCCTTTAGATAAGAAAGTCATAAGGTCTGTCATTTTTCTTTATGTTTGAGAATCTTATCCTTTGGTAATATTCTACAAGGGTTATCTTTAACTCCCCTTTGTTGAAAATGACCATTACATAATTCCTACATGTTTTCAAGGAAGAAGCATGGAGTACTATTTGATAACTATGTGGGAAGAATCTAATCAAGAGAAGTATAGAATTTGGGAGGCTGGCTCTATCACAGTCTGTGGGAGATTAAATGTCTTGGACATAGTAGTGTGGCTGGGGAAAAGAGAAAGAAACAGTAATTCTCTTAGTTTCTTTGTAGTTCTCTATGGAAAGCGTCTCTTCCCATACTGGCACTACTACCACTTGGTTAGAAAAGTAGATAGCAGAAGAATAATCCATGTTTTCAAAAATACTCTCCCTGCAAGATGGCAGGCCATCACTAAGCCCTGTATTTCCAGATCCCAAATGATATGAAATTCATAGAAGGGAATTTTCTAAAATATAAGGAATCACTATAGGTGATTGATTTTAGAAATGACAGCACTTGGAGTTTTCATGCTGAAGACACTGCTGGTTACAGTTACAATAACCATAGCCCATAAGTGAATCCCTGTGGATGCAGGAGTTCCAACCTAATGAAGACAAAACCTTTCAGCCATCACCGTGATATAATCCAGCATCCTGCAGGCTCTCTACAGTGTTCAGAGGACAATAAGTTTACCTAGGCCCCATTTCTGTTATACAGAAATGCATGGATTTTGTTAGGGTAAAACACAAATAGGCATAGATGGGAAAAAAAATATCTTGTTAGAATCTGTAGTCACTCAAGTTGCAGAATGTTTTACTAGGGAGATGAAGAGCTGACTTTCTGGCTAGAGCAGTGGATTTATTTAGAAGGCAGTAAAGACAGAGTTCCGGGCCCACTCCAGAGAGCTCACAGGAGGCATCTTCAAACGTGGGACATATACTGCATTACTGAGAAAGAGCCGTTCTGAGGCTGATCCCCTAAATGGATGTACAGATGCAGACAGTCTGTTCAAGGTGAATAGGAAATTAGAGCAGATGCTGAGATTTCCACGAAGGGTGAAGTTCAAACATGTAGTGATTAAAATTTCAAAACTTGGTACATCACATCAGGAGCTCCAGACCAAGCATTTATTCATGGATTATTTACTTATTTATTGACATTTATGTTAGGTAGCTTCTTATTATGAAAAAATTTTCCATGGCCATTAGCTCTGGCATCTGAATTCCTGCTGCTCTCTTGGGATCCAGAAGTAGTGCTACAGTTATCAGACCAGAGTTTAAAGAGAAGGGTTTAACTTCTTTACCTGTTTTAGAGGATAAGTGCATTTACTTTGCTGTTTAATTGTTGTATTTTGAGCAAGCCAGGACTTTCAGTTATAGCTAATCCGTTTTTTCCTTTGTTGACTCAAGTTTGTGGACAGGTTTTAACCTGCATACTTTCCGTTGGATCTCTTTTTATTAATACTCTTAATTAAAATTCTGCAAAAATGGTTTACGTGTGTGCTAACAGAAGCAGTCAGATGACGGCACAGTTTAATGACGACAAAAATCTGTGGTTCTGAGCTCCCCACCCCCATTTGATTAGCTTTATTTGCAAATTTTATGCATATTTTTATGTTTTTTATGTTTTTATGCAATTTTATGTTAACAGACATAATTATTTTAAGGTATTCTCTCAGGATGATACTTCATCCTAACGTAGGCATTTTATTTACTTCTTAAAGGACTTTCTTCAGGAGATGCCACAGCTTTGATGCAAGAAAATACACTCATTGCGTCCACACCCGCTGTGAGTGATGAAGAGTCTGCAGAAGTAAGCGCTAACGATCAACCCGAGGCCCCGAAGCAAGTTCTGCAGTATCTGTTCTCACTTATACGAGGGGAGGTTGAGCAGTTGGATTCCAGGGCACTCCCCCTCTGCCTGCACCAGGTACTCCCAACAAACCCTCCATGTCCTGCCTCCCCACAGTCCTGGGCTTGGGGCTTGGAATCATCGGAAAGACAATTCTCTGTAATCGATTCCCCCCAACCTGTCACTGGAGAGAGAGCCCAGGATGTGATCCTGGGTCAATGGCTGGTGGGAGATTTAGCGTATGGCTACTGGTGGCCACACATTGGCCTTCAATAATCCATTTGTAGTTCAGACAATCACTGACTTGATTTATGTAGTGAATACGCTGTGTACAAGTTAAGAGTCAGTGTAGCAAGCGCTTAGTAAGTACCACCGAGATGCCAAAAACTCTGCTAGACACTGGGGAAACAAAGATTACGTAACAGAGCATGTGTGTAAGAGAGCCACTGCGAAAAAGGAGAAACACTTGTAGAGATAAATAACGGGAGAAGTCTGTACTAAGTGTTGACAGATATTTAAGGTTCGGCAAAAGCATAAAATGTGTGATTAGCTCTGTTCTGTGGGCATCAGGGGAATAAAGGATGACTGAGCTGGGTTTTGTGGGGTGTGTAGGCGCTTACTAGATGAATGGAGTGAGCTGGTACGGGAGGAGAGATCAGCCCCCGCAAAGGCATGGCTGAGATGGTGTTGGAGATTAAGATGGGGAAGAGGTGGGACTTGACATTGGATGGCTGGGGCAGCAATCACAGCCCTCCTTTTGGGACTGGGAGTTTTTAATGGTGGGAATGCCAAATCGAATGTGAATTTTAGAAAAATAACTCTGCTGATGACTGGGAGGGTAAATTAGGAGATGGGGATTCTGAACACCAGGGGGCCTTCTGGATGGTGGTGAGGCAGAGTTTTTACACAACAGCTAATTCAGAAAAATAAGATATGTATGAACTGCATTTAATTTTTCCTTCAAAATGAAAATAATGAACTAATGGAGAAACAGAGACACCAACCAAGCAATTTCCTTACAGTCCTGGAGCCAGAATTTGTTTCTTCCATTCAGTGCATCTGTTTTTGGAACATCGTGGGAGAAATTTGAATATAGGCTCTATATTAAATAATATTATTGCCCTAATTCCCTGAGATTGGTAACAGAATTAGAGGTTTTATAGGACAGTGTCCTTGTTCTTGAGAGAGACGTGCCCACATATTTGGGAGTGAAGTGACATATAGTGAAGGGTATTATGATATTTTTACTTATCGTTACTTATGATACTTTAGCAGGAAAAAGTACATAAGAGAGGAAAAGACCGAGAGAGAAAGCAGATTTGGCAAAATGTCAACAATTGACAGATCTAGGTGAAAGGTAAATGGCTGATGATTTTACTCTTCTTTGGACTCTTCTATAGAATTTCGATAAAAAGTTGAGGAAAAGGACATTTGGAGTAAAGATGGAAATAGCAGATGTAGTCAGATCTTTTCAAGGAGTTTATGTCACTGGGCTGTTGTTGCTTGAGAAAGGTAAGAGGAATGCTATTTTCTACTGGTGTACGATCCTACAGCCAAAGCAGTTCTAGTACATCTAGGCCTGAAGATTGTTTAAATTTTTTTCAGTTTATTTATTTATTAATGTTTCTTTTTTGTAACCTCTACCCCCCACATGGGCTCAAACTCACAGCCTTCGGGATCAAGAGTCATGTGCTCTTCTGGTGACCCAGCCAGGCTCCCCCTTATTGTCTCAAAGTAAAATTCTGCCCACCCTCCCCAGGCACCCTCCACCCTCCCCACCCCCCAGAAACATATCAGTTTGCTAAGTCCTGTAGGTCCTGCTTCTTAAATATCTCGGCCATCTGTCCTCCCCTTACAGAGTGGCTTAGAGAGTATGGTGAGGGTTTAAAAGCGGGGGTTTGGGCTCCACCACAAACAATCTAAGTGGTTTTCAGTGTGTTCTGTAACGTGGAGGACCAAATGGAGTAATATGTGCGGAAGCATTTAACATAGTGCTTGGTACACAGTAAGAGCCAAATAAATAATAAGCATTATGATGGCACCCTCACTGTCACTAATTCAAGGACTGCAGGTGATTCTCAGGTGCACTGTAGCATCACCCCTCAACATATGTGCATGTGTCCCCAACACCGTGGGTACTCCCCGACATTACCTGCAATGCTGGTATCAACCCCAGGAAATGAGACGCTGGTATCAGTATTATTCCACGGACAGCCTGTAGTTCCGTCTCCCTCACGTTGTTCCACAAACATGACTAGTCCCCCCTAATCCAGGATCCCGTGAAGGAGCACACATTGCATTCGGTCATCAGGATTCTTTAGTCTTCTGTAATCCCAAACAGTCCCTGCCTTTTCTTTTTTTCTTTTTCTTTTAAACTTACTTTGACACTTAAGAAGAACCAAGAATTATTGTGGAATGCCCCATAATTAGGATTTGTCTGGTTGTTCCTTCATGATTTGATTCAGACTAAAACACTTTGGACAAGGATTCTGCTTTGGTAACATTCCATGCCTGATTCTCTCTTGAACTCACTCCAGTCTGGCTTTTGCCCCACACGCCATGAAAATTACGTTCTGAAGGTCGTAAGTGGCCTCCATGTCACATGTTCATGCCCATTCAGTGGTCAGTGCTCAGTTTTCGTCCTGCTGTTGGTAGGAGGAGCTTTGACAAGTTGAACTTATAGTCCATTTTGAAGCACTTTCTTTATTTGCCTTTGGGACCCTCCCTTCTTGGCATGCTTTATCTGCCTCCATATTTTACTAATTTTTTACTAATTTTTTAAAGGTTTTTTTTCTTATTTTGTTTTGTCTATTTAAGAGAGAGAGAGAGAGAGCACAAGCAGAGGGAGAGAGCAAAGCATGCTACCTGCTGAGTAGGGAGTCCGATGTGGGACTCGATCCCAGGATGCTGGGATCATGACCAGAGCTGAAGCCAGACGCTTAAGCCACTGAGCCCCTGACGCACCCCATATATTTTACTAATCTTTACACATCAGAGCTCTCCTGTATGCAGTTCTGAACTCTAGGCTTCAATAGGCAGCCTCCTGAGGTGTCTGAAGAGCACTTCAAACTTAAGATATCTGAAATCAAACTTTGCTTTTTCTCCCAAATCTTCTGCAGCCCTAGTTTCCCCCCTTTTGTTAAACAGCAGCTCCATCCCTTTAGTTGCTGAGACCAAATGCTTTGAAGTCACCTTTCCTTTCTTTCCTCCCACATCCAGTGCAGTGAGTGCGTGCTGCACCTCCGTGTGCACGGGTACCCAGAATCTGACCCCTTCTTGCCTCCCTCATTGCCTCTGCCCTGGTGCAGGACTCAGACCTCACCTGGATTCTTGCAGGGAACTCATCACTTTAGAAATCCCCACCCTAACTCTCCCTCTCCCCTTTGTCTTTGTCTTCTACACGGCAGTCATTTCGTGACCCAGAGAAAACGTAAGTCAGATCCTGTCAGTCCTCCACTCAGAGCCCTCTGGTGGCTTCTCTTGTTAGTCAGAATTAAAACTAAAATCCTGGGGCACCTGGTGGCTCAGTGGGTTAAGCCTCTGCCTTCAGCTCAGGTCATGATCTCAGGATCCTGGGATCGAGCCCCACATTGGGCTTCTGCTCAGTGGGGAGCCTGCTTCCCTCTCTCTCTCTCTGCCTGCCTCTCTGCCTACTTGTGATCTCTCTCTCTCCCTGTCAAATAAATAAATAAAAATCTTAAAAAAAAAAAAAAAAAACTAAAATCCTTACAGTGCCTGTGAGACCCTGCACGATCTGGGCTGTTACCTCCTAGACTTTAATTCCGAAATGCTCCATCTTACTCACTGCTTCCCAGGTCCACTTGCCTCCTGGCAGTTCCTCAGATATACAAGGATGCTCCTACCCCAGGGCCTTTGCTGTCTTCTTTCACCCCTTTCTGAGGAAGCCTCTAGAGGCTGCTCCAAAGCAGAGAGGTAAACCTGGGAGCAGGAGGGTGTGAGACACCAGAAATCAGGATGCTACCCAGGAGAGAGGTGAAGAGAGTCTGGAGGTGCAGGAGTGTTCTAAGATGACAGCTCTGTATCAAGGAGAGAGGCTCCAGTTCTGTTTGGAGGAGACCAGAGTAGTCTGGGGAGAAAGTTCTATATCATTTTCCTATTTCTGAGTATTTGCTGTTTCTGAATGTATTGAGGGAAGATATAGACTCTTGGTGGCGTGCTTGGAGTTGTATAGGTGGCAAGTGCATGGAAAACTGTGCCCCCCCCCCCAAAAAAAGTGGGGAGAAAGGAAAGGAAAAAGTAACTCCAGGGAAAACAAAAAGTTTTCAGGAAAGGAAAATTAACAGTTTACTATATGGCTTGGCTTACAGTAAGGCAAACATTAAATGTTACCTACCCATTGTTACAGTATAACCATATGGAGTAGGTGAGTGTGGGAGGATGTGTGTGCGCTGTGTGTTTGTAGAGTTGGGGCCAGGGGAGCAAAAGGCTCAGTCCTCATCTAATAAAACCCAAAAATCCAGAAATGGCCAAAACAGGCATTATGTTTAGGGATACACAGGTTAAAAGAGAGGGAAACCAGATCTCTGAGTGCTTGCTCCTGAAGAATGGAGAGAAAGCCAAGAGGGCAGGGCTTGGTGAACATGTATCATAGGACTGTTGGACTCCTTAAACCACATGCTTACACAATTTTAGTGAAAATAAGAACTGAAAGGAGATAGTGATAAATCAAGGATAAGGTGAGAAAAGCATGCTGGTTACAATGGTGGTGGTGGCCACAGAGAGGGATGGATTACAGTCCCTTTGAAGGAAGAATCCCTAGGACTTGGAGTGGTAAGAGAAAGGGAACGAGAGAAGTCTGAGATGGCCAGGAGATCCAGGCTGGGCGAGTGGCAGTTCCATGAACAGAAATAAGGAATTGAAGAGGGAGAGTCCCTTCGGGGACAGTTGTTATTTTTGAAGTGATATTCCATCAGTGAATATGTGCTAAAGGCTGTTGGAAACATGACTGCAGTTACATCAGATATGGACTTGTATTTTTAGCTCTTGAAACTCTTGAAGATTCCATTTAGAAATTCTTGCTCTCGGTATGAATCATCTTTCACACACTTAGTTAATACGACTGCAGGTTAGATCTAAGTATATGACTGAAGTCATAAACTTGGAAGCTTTTCATATAGAAGTGGGAAGAAAAACCTCAAGCATGATACTCTGTGCTCAGTGCATTTGTACTGGAAACTGGTGTCAGACTCAGGCAGGCAGTGGACCCCCTGGGCTCCTTGAAGCCAGTCTCCGTGACTGTGGCCAAAAATGAGACCTTCCTACTTCCCTTCTCTGGTTCCTGGTAAGTAAAAGAAACCTAGAACCAGAATAACCTGGAAACTTGAAACCTTCACACTGTTGCCCTCCCAGAGTGATCTTCAACTTACTTCTCCACATGGTCCTACTCTGAGTCGCGCCCTTGCGGTTCAGACTCAGACTCAAACCATTTTCAGCATCTGCTGCTCCGTGCTGGCCCCCACGCTAGATTCGCACTTCCTCTCTCTCTCTCTCTTTTTTTTTAAGATTTTATTTATTTATTTGACAGAGATCATAAGTAGGCAGAGAGGCAGGCAGAGAGAGAGAGGAGGAAGCAGGCTCCCTGCTGAGCAGAGAGCCCAATGCGGGGCTCGATCCCAGAATCCTGGGATCCTGACCTGAGCCGAAGGCAGAGGCTTTAACCCACTGAGCCACCCAGGTACCCCGAGCACTCCCTCTCTTAATCCTGACAGCAGCCTCGTCTCGTAGAGTCCCAGGTACCACTGTCCCTATTGTACAGATAAGGAAACTGAGACTTGAGACGTAAAAGGACATGTCCAAGGTCACATGGCCAGCAGTGGCAAAGCTGGGACCAGAATGCAGTCCGGTTAGTCACCTCCACACCTTACTTTCGTTTCTGCTCTACCAGGCTTCCTCCCAGATTTAGACGTATGGGACATCAAAGAAAATCCCGTCTGCTCTTGCCCTGCTAGACTGCCCAGGGGCACGAATTTATTTTCCCCAGCTGCCCTTTCACCTGGAAATGCCTGTTGCTTTTGAGGCCTTGGGTCTCGTGACCCTACCTTTATAGTTGCTTTTATGGTATTGGAACCGTCACAGAAATCTGAAAGCTAATTGAAATGTGTATTTCTGTAGTGCGAGAAAGTCTGGTTTATAAGAGCGTGAAGCTTTTTATAAATAAGCGTGTGCCAATGGTACACGGATGCAAAAAGGCAACAAGAATGGCTTTGAAGAGCCAGACATTTAATCTTAATGGGCAACTAGAGACTATATTCGATGTGATGTATAATAGAGAACTCGTTGCCATGCCGTAGACTTTTCCCTGGAAGTTGATAAATGAAGTTAGTGATTTCTATTAGATGTGACCCAGCAGTGTGCTGGAGCGCACTGCTATAGTTCATGAGAACCATACTCAGTGAGGTCCTTCCTGTTGGTCGCTTGAAATTGGCTGTGATGGAAGCCTTGACAACGCAGCAATGAGTGAACACTACAAGTCAGGACTCTCCCCAGTACTCGAGAGCCAGGTGTCAGGCATGTGTCAGCACACTACTGGTCATAGTACGTGGAATTCTTGTTTTGTAAGTAAAAAAAGTGATTAAATATTGACAATTTGATTCCAGTTGGTACTGTTAGATGGATGAGCTGATGAAAGACAAGCAGAATGTTGAAAATCAGTTTATCCTTTGCAAAGTCCTCAGAATAGAAAGTAAGTATGTATGGACTCAAGCTTTAGTTTAAAGTATTTTTTTTTAAGATTTTATTTATTTATTTGACAGAGAGAGAGAGAGACCATAAGTAGGCAGAGAGTCAGGCAGGGGTGGGGTGGGGGGAGGAAGCAGGCTCCCTGCTGAGCCCAGAGCCCGATGCGGCCTCGATCCCAGGACCCGGAGATCATGACGTGAGCTGAGGGCAGAGGCTTAATCTACTGAGCCACCCAGGTGCCCCAAGCTTTAGGTTAAACTAAAACTTTAGAAAGAGGTGATTGAGTCCACTTGTATTTATTGCTTATTGAAAAATGTTGGAGTTAAAATGTAAACTTTAAGCTAGATAAGTATTTTCCTTTAAAATTATGCTGTTTCCACTGTGGGATTTGGGAAAAACCATTCCTTTGTTTTAAAATTTAAATTTGTGCCCCAGTTACCTCATCCCCTCACCCCCTTCCCTCCAGCAGCCCTCAGTTTGTTTCCTATGATTTAAGAGTTTTCTATGAAAAACCTTCTTTTTGCTAGATTATAGGCTTGACAAGTACCGTATTACTCTTCACATCAGCAGCTAGCTGGAAAACGGAGGCAGGGATCTATAGATGGAGCACCTCTCTTACTAGAGACTTAGTAAGAGTGAAACTGTTTTAAAAGTGTGAATTATTTGTATGAAATATTCTAAATATGACCACAGTCTCTGCAAGTATTTCTCAGTGAAATTTTCCAGTGAATGCTTTCAGTTTTGCTGTTGTTCTATTTATAAATGCTGTATCTAAATAAAAATATAAGTGAAAGATCCCAAAATGTTCAGAATCAAATAATTTTTCAATTTAAATATGCCTTGGAAAATGAAGCTGGTAACTGATAAGCCTCGACTGGGGCCAGATCCCCAGTCTCTGGACTGCCCCCCACCCCTCCAGTGCCCTTTACCCTGTGCAGCATGTCGTGTGTATTCCAAGCATCATTGCTCAACTCTTAGCACTTGGCCCTGAATTTTCTGAAATATCGAAAGAGAACCAAAAGTCAATGTCCCGTGAAGTACTTGGTGAAACGCAAATGAGTCTCATGTGACTTCACACATTTTTACTTTTTGATTTATGAGACGGAGTCACTCTTTCACCCTGTTACGCTGTTGTAAGGCCCCGTAGTATTTTCCTCATTCTCTAGAGTTTTTGCTTCTAAATTCTAATGACTTGGTGAAGTTGACTTGAATTTGAAATAGAGCAGGGAGAGAGGGGTTGTTACAAAGACCAAAGAATGTGTCCATTTGCTTTGCCTGCGATCAGTGACTTCAGAAATGTGTCCTGTGCTTTCAGATTTCTTCTCAGCTGGTGTGTGTAGTTCAGAGTTTTCTTAGTCTGATGTCAAAGACTTGGAGAGTGTGCAGGTCTTGATTTGTTCTGTATTTGCCTTTTTATCCAAATGTTAATCTAACTTCCTGTCTTTGTTTGTTTGTTTTTAACAGATAGCAGAGTCCTATTTCCGGGAGGAGGACTGTATCCTTTTCTTAATTACAGGAAGAAGTTCATAGGACTCATGGAGAACTGCCCATTTTTTAAAAATTGAGTTTACATACAATAACATATATATATCTGTTGTTTTCAATGGGTGTTTCAGTGATGCACACAGCTTTGTGCACCCATGTATCCACCTCAGAAAGCAAGGTGTAGACAATTTCTTCCACTCCAGAAAATTCTCTAGAACCACCCAAATTTGGCCTTCCATGAAAAATCCCCAATTTTACCCCAATCTAAATATTGGTGTGTTTATGAGGGGCAGAAAAAAGCACATTGCTAGAAAATATAATTTGAAAATCTATTGGGTTTTCTTTCTTTTGAATTAAAACAGAAGCATAAGTCAAGTGATATTTGTGTGGTAGAGCCTGGGGAGCACGTTACACATAGTAGATCTTGTGAGCGTCTAGCTTTTAGCTGCAAAAGGAAGACTGAATTCTTCACTTGAGCTAAACAGATCAAATGCTGTCAAGTGAGACTGCATATTAGCTTTTATATAGGAAACATTTCTTCCCTCAGTTTTCCAATTGCCCTTTGTAAAAATCACTTCTCTTCTCCAGGGATGGCCCCATATAGACTCTCTAGAAGAATGTGCCCTCACCTCCTGTGTTTCCCCACTTGTGTGATTTCAACTCCATTCTTACCTTGTTGACTTTGTTCTTCATCTCCAAAGAGATTGAGGGAAATGCAGTCATTATCCCAACCCCTGTCAGATCGACAGTGGTAACCACCTCAGATGGTGGCAGCTCATGACTAAGTACGCAGGAGATCTAATTCTGGTGGAAGGGAAGCTAGAACTCTTTTTCTAACCAAATAGTGAGCACAGTGTAGTGTAGTGTAGACCAGCATCCACTTCCGGCAGTGGAGATGGGGGCTTCATAGTGTGCACACCCATGGGTCTCAGAATCAGAGCTTCTAGAGATCAGACCTAGGAATGTACATTTTTAGCAAGTTTTTCAGATCACTTTTTGTTCAGTAAAGTTTGAGAAACTTCAGTATACTTATGTCACGGGCAGAGGAAAGTGGAATTGCCCCCACTTCTCCCTGGCCTAGTTTATGATCCCTGGCATAGTTTGAAGACTACAGATGCGAGAGAGAGCTGAGTGTCCAAGTGATCATGGGAAGGGCAGAAAGCTAACCCGCGTTTTCTTCTCTTCCCCTCTTTCTGGGTCAGCATTTAGAACATGGCCCAAAGGAAGGCAGACAGTTGGGCAACTGACCACGACCTCGTATGCTGTTAACTGTGTGATACAGATGGAGAAGTAGAACCTTATAGGGAAATCTACAGAAGAGGAGACTCACATAATTACAAAAACCACTCTGGCCAGTTAATTAATTTTTTACCAAAGATCCATATAATGTTGTGCTCTGTCCTTGTTTTGGCTGGCAAACCTTTATCTTGTGAGAGAAAAGCATTCAGTGCGAAAAAAGTAGAGAGTCACGGTGAGTCGAAATCAGGAGCACACACTTGACTTGACTAGAGGGTAATGTAGTTGCTTGACAGAAAGTAATGTAAGGAGAGGGAAAATATGGGAAACATTTAGATTCCAGGATTCCAGGTGGATCCTGTTTGCAACTAAATTCCTCTTAATTGATTCTGCTAGAGATACACTGGCAAGTAGGCATTCCTTGAGCATTAAAACCCTGTTTTAGTTTCTGTTTGCTGACAGAATGGAACCCGAGTAGCTATGGCATCAAAACTTACCTACTCCAAACCAAGAAACCCTAATTTAAAAATATTAAATATTTAATTTAATATTTGGTAAACTCCAAGTTTCCCAATTTCAAGAGGACATTCTTCCAATATGAGGCTGAATGTAAAGAGTCTGGATTTCTATTTTCCTCAGTTTTTCTGTTCAGATGAGAAAGCAATGAAATTCATTCAGCTTGAACGACTGTATCACGAGAAATTGCTCGCAAATCTCTCTGCCATTCAAGAAGAGTGGGGTAAGTACCTACTTACAAGGGCTGTGCAATTATCAGTAATCTAACACCTTCCTATCTAGAAATTTAACTTATTTGACCTGGTTTTATAAGTCAGGAAAGAGATGCCTCAACAGTTAAGTTAATGTTGCAAAGAAGTAGCAATTTTACCAGGAGTCTATGTCCTTGTGAGAAAATTTCTCTCTGTATTTTGCTCTTTGTATCAATGCCAAGAAAAGAACACACTTATAACTGTTTGCATTTCTTCCAATCCCTTGGCATGCCCTACTGGCTGATTTCGTCCCTGGGATAATATTTACTCCTATTGAAAAGTAATCACTTAGCCTTTTTTCACTGTGTTAACTTGGGCTGTATGTGAAGATAACTTTGCCTGGGGATTTTGACTGGTGGTGCCAATTAACTACTTTTGCCCTCCTAAATATGTTTCATAATATCCAGTAATTAACAAATATTTTAAATTTAGAAACAAAATGGAAAACTGTACAACCACATACAACTCTAAGGAATTCAGAAAAAGGATTTAATGGTGAAGATTTTGAACAACTTACTAAGTTTTGCACAACACACCAAGAGTAAGTACATCAGTATTTGTGTAGAATGAGTTGAAGTAGAGTATTGAAGAAGCACTGAATATTTGAAATTCATGATCCATTTTTTATTTGTTAATGTTTTCGGTGGGAGATATTAAAACAGATAAAGTGATTAGTGTTTATCTGATTGGCTTTTATCATAGTTTCTGAGAACTCAGTAAAAGTTCAACTTTATGTAAGTTCAAAACACCTTCTAATCAGATATTTTAAAATACAACTTTTAATTTTGATCTCTTTTTGGTTGAGAGATTAGGTGATCAAAATGGGAAAAAAATTGTGTATTAGAATTTTTTTGGTAGTTGTTTGCCAGTGTTTGTATGTTGTAGCCAAAACACATCTGTAAGACTTGTCTAATGGTGGGAAGCAGAAACAGTGAAATATTTAACCAAAATACTGTAGAAGGAAAGGTACTTTTACCAGATAAAATTTTTTTTACATTTACCAGATTATTTTAAATTGCTTGATTTGTATCAAAGATTGGGATTTTTAAAACTAAGTCATAGTAATAATAAAGCACATAAATATATTTTTTTAATCCATTATTCTAAGACTCAGAAATCTGCAGGTGAGGTTACACGAATAGTGTTTAAACTAGTGATGTTTAAATGAGATTTCTGAAATGTACAAGAATCCTTGATACGGACACTGCAAGATTCCATCCTGTGGATAACTTTTTCTCCTTTTCCTCCGGAATCACAAAGAGTAAACGAAAACTCTTACTTGTCCGTAATGAAAAAGACCCACGTAGTGGACAGTTGTATTAGGCTCTGATTATTTTGGAGACCAGCCTTTGAAGAACCTTTGTAGATTCAGAAATGATGTTCGTTCACCTCTCATGATTGACAGTTTTCTGCTGTTGATTTGAACCTTGGAAACAATGTTTTTAGGGACTCTGCATTATAACCTAATTTCTCAGCATGTTAAATTAACTTTAAACTTCTCAGAGTTTTAAAATCATGGAATGCTTTACAATAGATAAGGAACATTGTGTTCTTTCAAAATATTCAGTATATAGACACTTTCCCTGCCTTTCCCATGGAATTAATAATTTTTTAATGTGTTGCAGATGTTTTAATCATTTGAAAACAAGTATTTATTTAATATAATATCGACATGGCATTTTTATGCTTCAAATTTGGATAATCCTCCCCAAATTATTATTCCTTAATTTTTTACTATAAAAAATAATTTTGAATTCTACATACATTAAAGCATAGAAGCTCAGTGAAGGTTTTATATACATATAAATGTCTATGTAACTACCACTCTGACCAAGACACATAACAGCACAGCCCCTCAGAAAGCTCCCTCAGCACCCACCCCCAAAATTACCACTAAGTACTGTAACAGTGTATTTGCCTGTTCTGTAATTCTTAGAAACCTAATCATACAGAATGGAGATTTCTGGATTAACTGCTTTTGCCCATCATTTTGCTATGTCTCTGTTACATGTTGTTACATGTACTGGTAATTTGCCCGGTTTTATTCCTTCCTGTATGGATTCACTGTAGGACTGTGTAGCAATTTATTTGTCCATGATATTGTTAATCAACATTCAGATTGTTTCTGGTTTTTCAGTATTATGAATCAAGTGGCTATAAATATTTTTGTGCATACCTTTTCTGTGGACATATGCATTCTGTCATCTTTGATATTCCTCTAAAACATAGAATATTTAAAAATTCCCTTTTTTGTTACCTGTTCCCACAGATAATGCCAATAAAATTATCTTCCATCATAACCTACTTCAGATTATAAAGACATAAACTGAAATTTTAAAAATACGTGTGTGAAATACTCTTTACATTATCAGCAAAATGTTAACATTTTCTTTTCCCGGATCTCAGCATTTATCCCAAAGAAGGGGGTTTTCAGTAGTAATTGGCTAGCTAAGGAGCTAACATGAGAGAGCTGCCCTTTGAACTGTGTGAACCAGTGGCGATGTTTCAGCACTGGAAATATTCTGTGCTAATATTAGAATCCAGAGAAGCTATAATTTATTTTTACAGCCATTTCAGTGACATTTGTTTGGAAGCATATTGCTCCTGTAATTTTTTAAAAATCTTTTTTTTTCTCTTTTTTTCTACAGTCCTCTTTTCTCCAAACCTAAGGTAAGAGACCTGTCTCCTCGAAAGTATTTTATGGGAAGAAATGTTAAGAGTCACATGTCTGTTATATGGACTGTTTTAGGAAATAACGAAACCTTTCTCAGAGTATTTTCAGTTTTCTAACTTAACACAACAGTTTCCAAAACTTTTTAACAAAAAAGTGTGTTTCTTGTTTTGTTTTGTTTTACTTTTTAGATAACAGCTATAGAAAAGCCTCTGGGAAGGAAATGCTTTACGCAGTTAATAGTTTCTGAGGACCCAAAGGACAGAGGAGCCACAGCCAAAGAACCGGGTATGTTTTTACCGTAGAGAAGAATGTAAGAGATGTCTGCTTCTTCAATTTTACAAGCGTTACATTTACAAGTATTAATTACAAGTATTATTATGTTAAATTTGTGCATTTACCTTTTTTTTTTTTTTTTTTTGCATATACCTTTCCTACCAGACAAATTGCAAACTGAGATTCTTTTTATTTTGTGTAACTCTATTTTTAGAAAACTGGTAGTAGGAATTAATAACATCTAACTTCTTATGAAAACATACAGTTATTTCCATGTTTTCAGGAGATAGTTATATCTATCTAACAGAATATGACAAAACTGCACAAAAATGCTCTGAAACAGCATTGGTTTTGGTGTAGGTTCAGATGCCCTTTTTTGTTTAAAAACCAACAGTTACTATATACGGACTTTACCAAAATGTGTGCTGTAAATCTAGATACTTAAGAGCTCTGTTTCTTGGTAACGTATCTATGGCAATTTATTCTCTTCCCTTTTTGTTAACTGACTTACGGTGTACTTTAATTTGCATGTATACATTTCTAAAACATTTATGATATATTTTATACCGCTTCTGTATCTTATGCCAGAAGTTCAAAGATCTTTAGAAACTCTTTCCTACAGTGCTAATGTGGTTTCATTATAAAAACTTTTTAAAAAATAAAGATAACTAAATACATCTTAGGGTGTTTGTTTTTTTCTGATGTATGGTTTTACTACTGATTTACAGTCTGAGGCTTCATGTCCCTGGGCCTGAGAGCCTGCGCAGTAAACACACGGAATCAGCTGTTTGACTGAGTTGCGCAAAGAGATAAGATGATGGTGATGATGATGGCTTCAATTTAATCTGCCTTTTTTCTCTTTACAAAGCCCTGCCCCACATCTTTATCCCCTTTTCTTCTGTGAGGCAAATTTGTGATATTGCCTTAAGTCACTCCTACTATACTCTGTTCTGTCTCTTCTTCTCCTTCACTTTTTTTTTTTTTTAAGAAATTGGATTTTTTGGGGTGCCTGGGTGGCTCAGGCAGTTAAGTGTCTGCCTTTGGCTCAGGTCGTGATCTCAGGGTCCTGGGATTAAGCCCCGAGTCAGGCTCTCTGCTCAGCAGCAAGTCTGTGTCTCCCTTTCCCTCTCCCTCTGTGCTTTCCCTCTCTCTCAAATAAATAAAAATTTTAAAAAGAAATTGGATTTTTCTCCAAATAAAATTTTATTTTATATTTTGCATTTTGAAATGCAAATTTCTCTTCCTACATTTTACCCCTAATCTATTTAAAAAAGTGTACAAATAAGTTTCTGATTTTTTTTTTTTTTTGGCATAGTTGAAACACAATGTTACATGAGTTTCAGTGCACAACATAGCGACTGGACATGTCTAAACATTATGCTGGGCTCCCCACAAGTGTAGCTACCATCCTCACCATATAATACTATTACAGTATCACTGACTATATATTCCCTGTGCTGCACTTTTTATTCTTTTGTCTTCTTCACTCCTGTATCTCCCACTCCCCTTCACCCATTTTGCCCATCCTCCCCATTCCCTCTCCTCTCTTGACAACCATCAGTTCATTTTCTTTGTTATGGGCCCAATTCTGTGTTTTGTCTGTTTCTTCACTTGTTTTTTTTTTTTTTAGATTCTACATGTGAGTGACACCATATAGTATTTGTCTTTCTCAGGCTGACTTACTTCACTTAGAATAATACCCTCTACGTCCATCCATGTTGTTACAAAAGGCAAGATTTCATTCTTTTTTATGGCCGAGTAATATTCCATTGTATATCTATCACATCTTCTTTATCTGTTCCTCTGCTGATGGACAGCTGGGCTGCTTCCATATCTTGGATATTGTAAATAATGCTGCGATAAACATAGGAGTTCCCATCTTTTCACATTAATGTTTTCAGTAGTGGAATTATTGGATCAACTGGTAAATCTTTTTTAATTCTCTGAGGAACCTCTAGACTATATACCACAGCAGCTGTCTCTTCTTTTTCAGTCATTTTTATATTGTAAATCCTAGTAAAATGAGCTTTATAAAGATCTTAAAGAGGGAGAAATTCACAAACTAGCTACCCGTTTGGGCATGGCTGTACTTTGGGAATGGTGCTGTTACCGGCTGGTTAGTTTGACTGTCAGTGCTGATTGCTGTGTGGCTCAGGCCTGGCGCTACTTCTGACTTTCTAGCTTGGCCTCTGCTCTGAGGTACAGGGAACAGATGAGGAGACTGAACTACCACACTTAAGTCTCTCGCTTGTGCTTTGATTCACAACTAGAACCTGGGTCTTCTGGTTTCTAAATGAATGCAGCATCGTTCTACTGAGTAAATTGTGTGTATTATCAAGACTTTCCCAATGCAGATAGCTCACTGACAACCGTGTTATGAGGAAGGTAAATTCTGGGGAAAGAAATCTTGCCAAGTCTGGTAAAACAGTATCTTTTAAAGAAGAATGTCAACTCTCCCAGAATTAGTTTCCTCAGATTGGTAAAATAACTAATCTGAATCTGTTGCATAGAAATGTAAGAATGTGAGAAAAAGAGAAATATGGAAATAATCCTTTAAATGATTGGTATTAAATATATTGTTCTTGTTTTACCTCCTATTCCTCACTTTTAACGACATCTGGCATATATTTCGATCTAGACTTTCCTTTCCCTTTTCTTTCTCTCCAGATTCCTTGGTGTTAAACTCCTTCGTAATATGTAACTTAACACTTTTTGTATAGTGGTTAAAGACATTGTTTCTGAAGCCAGACTGGTCTGGTTTGAATCCCGTCTCCACTATGTAAAACTGTGTGATCTTAGGCAAGTTGTAGACTTCTCTGGGCCTCTCTTTCCTCAGCTCCCCAATGTGGATACTTATAGTACTTACCTCATGAGATTCTTATGAGGATTAAGTTAGTCATTTCATGTTAAGAGTTTGGAATGGTATCTGACAGGAGGGAAGAACTGGGCATACGCTCACTGCTCTTTCTCTCCTCCTCCCCATGCTATCGCTGCTCCTGCTAACGCTGTTCTGTTAATGTTCTCTGTATATTGTTCATTACTACTTTTATAATCAACCTACCACTAACACTCTTCCAAGTAATTTTCACAGCATTTTCCTTTTTTTTTTTTTAAAGATTTTTTTATTTATTTGACAGAGAGAGAGATCACAAGTAGGCAGAGAGGCAGGCAGAGAGAGAGAGGGGAGGAAGCAGGCTCCCTGCAGAGCAGAGAGCCTGATGCGGGGCTCGATCCCAGAACCCTGGGATCATGACCTGAGCCGAAGGCAGAGGCTTTAACCCACTGACCACCCAGGCGCCCCAGCATTTTCCTTTTTTTAAGATTTTATTTATTTATTTGTGAGAGAGAGAGAGCACAAGCAGGCAGAGGCAGAGGGAGAAGCAGGCTCCCTGATGAGCAAGGAGCCCGATGTGGGACTCGATCCCAGGACCATGCGATCATGACCTGAGCTGAAGGCAGCTGCTTAATGACTGAGCCACCCAGGCATCCCTCCTTTCCCATTTTTTTTATCAACTTTGTTGAGGTACAATTTCCATGCAATGAAATATACCTATTTTTTGTTTAAAGATTTTATTTATTTATTTCACAGAGATCACAAGTAGGCAGAGAGGCAGGCAGAGAGAGAGGGGGAAGCAGGCTCCCCGCCGAGCAGAGAGCCCAATTCGGGCCTCAATCCCAGGACCCTGAGACCATGACCTGAACCAAGGGAGAGGCTTTAACACACTGAGCCAACCAGGTGCCCCCAAATATACCTATTTTAAGTGTGTAATTTGAGGAGTTTGGACAACTGTATACACTCACATAACTATCACTCCAATCAAGAGGTAGCACATCATGCCAAAATCTTCCTCCCAATGTTTCTTTATAATCAGTTCTCCCACCTCCAGGCCCAGGCAACCCAGTGCTTCCTGTTACTGTTGGTGGGTTTTCTCTGCTTTGGAATTTAATATAAATAGAACTTCTCAGTGTACTGTTTTTCAGAATCACCCATATTGTTACATGTGTGATTAATTCATTTCTTTTCATTGCTCGGTGATGTTCCACTCTGACTATACCACAATTTGTTTATCCATTCACCTGTTGACAGACATTTGGGTTGTTTCCAGGTTGGGGATATCATGGATAAAACTTCTAAATAAAAATAAATAAATAAATAAATAAATAATCAAGACTTTATTTATTTGAGAGAGGGAGAGAGAGCATGAGTGGGGGAGGGGGTGAATAGACCTTCTGGGAAGTCTTTCTGTGGATCTATGTTCTCATTTCTTTTGGGGAAAGAATTGAGGGTGGAATTACTGGACATAGGGAAGGTACATTTTTAATTTTACAAGGAACTGCCAGGCCGTTCTGCGGTGTATGAGGCTTCCCGTCGCTCCACATCCTGGCTGGTATTTACTGTGTCAGTCTTTACTGTGGTCATTTTAGGGGACACGAGTATCACTGTGGTTTTAACTTTTCCCTGATGACTGGGTATGAACAATTTTAGGTCTGAATTCTCCTCTGTAGCAGCTGTACATTATCAACATTTTATACTTAAAGTATTTTTTTTTCAGTGTACTGTAAAAATGTCTTCTTACAGTCCTGATACCACGCAAATGTTTGTACTTAATGTTAATGAGATATGCAGAAAGTATAAGACATGTTAACTCATGAATGATTTAGTCTTACATCATGAATTGTGTGGGGGTTTTTACTGTAAGGAGAACTCATGGGAGGGGTACCCAGCTGGCTCAGTCGGACGAGCATGTGACTCTCGATCTTGGGGTTATGAGTTTAAGCCCCTCATTGAGTGTAGAGATTACTAAATAAAATAAAATAAAATAAAACTTTAAAGAGAAAACTCATGGGGGAATGGGAAAGAGTAACTGAGAGACAGCGACATTTCTGTGGATTATGTGTCTAACTGCTCCTTTTAGAACTCCCCCTTTAACTCAGTGTGTATTAAGCATCGGTCATGCACTCAGCCCTTATTCCATTTTTTTTTTCATCAGAGTAGAGTTTTTCTTAGTAGGTGTGAGTGAATGCAGTAGGGAGTAACAGACTCTGTCACTGGATCTTTGGGTTCAGGAGCACCGATTAACAGAAATTCAGGCTAATATTAATAAACATTAACCGTAAGTTTTATACTAGAATGCATACTTGTCAAAAATTCAGAAAATATTTTAGATTAATCAGAGTAGATCAGACATTTACCTTCACTTTTTGTTGGAATACTACTGAGATATCAGAAAGGCATTCTTTTTTTTTGATGGGTTTTATTTGTTTTTCAAGATTTTATTTATGAGAGAGAGAGAGTGCACATTAGCAGAGGGAGGGGCAGAGGGAGAAGGAGAAGCAGACTCCCCATAAGCAGGGAGCCTGATGCGGGGCTTGATTCCAGGACCCCTAAATCATGACCTGAGCTGAAGTTAGACCCTTAAGTGACTGAGCCACTCAGACGCCCCCAGAAATGCATCCTTAAAGGCAGAAACCCACAGCCACAGGATTGGCAAGGAAGCAGCAGCAGATGCAATATCCAGAAAGTTCCAGAAGCTGGAAAGCAGACGGATGGGTGGCAATTGGCTTATTACACCAGAGAAGGCGGAAAGCTGAGTGTCTGTGGGAACAATGCTGAGTCCTGCCTGGAAAGGTTTGGGAATCGGAAGCATGGAGGTGCCTCTGACGTCATAGTCAGACTGGCAGCGGGGAGGTTCGGCCAAAAGACTATACAAGAAACACTTAGACATTTATAAGCCCTTTTTGCCAAGCGGGAGGCTGACATTTATTTCATAGAGCGCCTGAGTTGGAGGAAATGTGGACGTGGGATCAGGCACAACTCAAGGAAGAGGTCTTCTATAGAAAATAAGGATTGCGTGAAAATCCTACCACCTGAATGGGGAGAGCCTTAAGCGGTTTTCTGCAGCTCCGTGTAGAACTGTGGCGGCTGGTCTCTTGCTTCCTCTCCGGGAATCTGGCTACTTGTCCAGGAGATAAAACCTCCAGATGTTCATATTAAAGGCCTCGCCGTGAATGGCCCAGGCCTTCTCCTCCCACGCTGAGGACTGACCACTCCTGGAGAAGATTTGCCTTTAACCACAGAGCTTCTTGCTGCCTCACTGAAGAAAGCCCCAGATAGAAAGACCGGAAACCAGACCAGTCGGTCCAACCCAAAGAAGCTCAAAGGAAATAAAATGGAGAGAACAGATGAAAACTTTAAGAAAATGAACAGTGTCGTAGGTTAGAGAGAATATTGAATATATGAAAACAAGAATAAGGAGCAGTTTTGGGTGCCTGGGTGGCTCAGTTGGTTAAGTGTCTGCCTTCAGCTCAGGTCGTGATCCCAGCATCTTGGGATCGAGCCCCACATCAGGCTCCCTTCTCAGCTCTCTCTTTCTGCTCTCCTTCTCTCTCAAATAAATCTTAGAAAAGAAAAGAATAAGGAACTTATTTTTTTCTTATTTTCTTACAATAAGAAAAGGAAAACAGGGGCGCCTAGGTGGCTCAGATGGTTAAGTGTCTGACTTTTCCTTAGGTCTTGATCTCCAGGTCCTGGGATTGAGCCCCACATTGGGCTCCCAGCTCACAGGGAGTCTGCTTCTCCCTCTCCCCCTGTTTGTGCTCTCTCTGTGTCTGTCTCTGTATCTCTCTCAAATGAATAAATAAATTTAAAAAAAGAAAAACATTCAGAGAAAGAAAATATTCTTAGAAGATAAAAGGTGTGATGTTCACAATAAAAAATTAATTATGGGGTGCTTGAGTGGCTTAGTCAGCTGAGCCTCTGGCTCTTGATTTCTGATCAGGTAATAATCTCAGGATCATGAGATGGAGTCCCAAGTCAGGCTCCGTGCTGAGCATGAAACCTGCTTAAGATTCGCTCTCTCTCCCCCTCTTACCCCTCCACTCCTCACTCGAGTTCTCTCTCTCTCTCTAAAAATAAAACTAAAAACTTAATTAGAGGGGCACCTGGGTGGTTCAGTGGGTTAAGCCTCTGCCTTCGGCTCAGGTCATGATCTCAGGGTCCTGGGATCGAGCCCCACATCAGGCTCTATGCTCAGCGGGAAGCCAGCTCCCCCCCCCACCTGACTCTTATCTACTTTTGATTTCTCTCTCAAATAAACAAATAAAATCTTTAAAAAAAAATTAATTAGAAGAGTCGAAGGATAAAATTGAGGCAGTGTCCCAGGAAGTTAATCCAAAGGCTAGGAGAGGAACAGTGTGGCAGAAAACATAGAGACCATCAGTCTATGAGGCCCAAATCAGAAGACAGGCATTCTGAAGGAATGGAACAGAAAGCAACAGGGACAAATGAGTAGGGGAAATAATATTTACAAATTCCAAGAATTGACGGTCATGAGTTTCCAGGTTGAAAGTCCCACCAAGTACCCAACACGAAGAATGAAGAACTTCACAAAGCTTCAGGACATCAGATATAAAGAAAAGAATCCATATCTTCTAGGAAGCAAATGTAGGTGATGGGGGTTGGTATTCGGATTGATTGAGAGACTCTACAGCCCTAAGGGAAGCAGGACACGGTACAGCAGTGCCTTTCAGGCTGTGAGAGGAAGTTACCTCCATCGTAGAAAACAACCCAACCAAAGTTTTAGTCAGGCAGGAAGGAAAAGACTCAGATCTGAACAATCCGAAGTTTGCCTTCCATGTACCTTAAAAAAAATCCGAGAGAGAATAAACAATGAGAAAGACCTGGGATTCAGAAGCAATGTTCCCAACACAGAACGAGAGGGAATTGCAGGGATCACAGGAAGGGAATGCCGGGACAGGGTCTGTGTAGCCCGCCGAGAGAGCAGCTCCGCTGAGGGGATATTGTTGTTTGTGTTTTTCAAGATTTGTTTGTTTGTTTGTTTTCTAAAGTAATCTCTATACCTAACAGGGGGCTCAAACTCAAAACTCTGAAATCAAGAGTCACATGCTCTGCTGACTGAGCCAGCCAGGTGCCCCAAGAAGGATACATCTTTTTTTTGTTTTTTTGTTTTTTAAATATTTTATTTATTTATTTATTTGACAGAAGAGATCACAAATAGGCAGAGAGGCAGGCAGAGAGAGAAGGGGAAGCAGGCTCCCTGCTGAGCAGAGAGCCCGATGCGGGGCTCGATCCCAGGATCCTGGGATCCTGAACTGAGCCGAAGGCAGAGGCTTTAACCCACTGAGCCACCCAGGCGCCCCAGAAGGATACATTTTAAAACTGGTAGATTATCTGTTGGGACATATGCTATAGTTGTAAATCTGTCAGAGTTTGAAAATACATAGGCAGGGATTTTTTTTTTCTTTTAAACATTTATTAGAGAATGAGAGAGAGCATGACCTGGGGGAAGGGCCGAGGCAGAGGGAGAAGCGGGCTCCCTGCTCAGCAGGGAGGATGTAGGGCTCGATTCCAGGACCCTGAGATCATGACCTGAGCTGATGTCAGACGCTTAACTGACTAGAGTCACTCAGGTGCCCTGGCAAGGATTTTTTTTTTTTAAATGAAGGAATGAGGCAGCCATCAATAGCACACAAAATAAAGTGGAAATGAGAAAGGAAAATGTATCCTCTTACACAGTGTAGGTCAGTTGTGAATAATAGTTACAAAGCCATAGCAGGGTAAACGTGAATATTGATTTGCCCCAGAATTGTGTGAACTGTAGTGGGAAACTCGAGGAGGGGAAATAATATATCATTGGAGGAAAGGAATAGAAAGAACTGAGAGAAGGAATCCTCTTTGTCCACAGTAGGTAGTCTTGAAAACTGAAAAATCCATAAAAATAACAGTATAAATCTGGTTTTCAGTGGAGGGTAAATACAAAAAGAAATACAGAAAGCCAATAAAGTTCAGAAAAATATCCCCCAGCCTTTAAAAAAATGACTTTCAATGACAACGAAGACTAAATTACATATTCATATTCTTAACATGGTCCGAACAATCTCTGTTAATTTCTAAAGGTAAAGGGTTATTGACTGAACAGAGTATTTCCTCTCTCTGAAGACACCATTAATCCAAGCAGATGCCATCTCCACTGGAGAGGTCTCGAATTTTGTTGTGTCACACGTATTAATTCACTCATGTCCTCCCCCCCACCCCCCCCACCCCCGTGACAAGTGTTGTCTTGAACCTTACAACAACTTGTTTTCCTTCGTCTTCAGAGAATGAAAGTTGTCTTGGCCCAGAGCCAAGGGAAGAAAGACAGCATCCAGAGGGAACCCAGGAGAGCAACCCCTGCTGTCACCCGATGGACAGGCAGGCCGAGCCCCCGAGCCTGCTGGTAACTGCAGGGATGGGCCACACGGAGGAGCCGGTCTGCAGCGCCGAGGCCACGCGGGAGCTCCACGCCCAGCCCCGGGACTCGGCGGGGAGCCGGTCTGGGGACGCCTGGGAGGATGACAGCCGCCGGCAGCTGCCTCAGACACAGGCGGGCCGAGATGTGGCCTCACTAGGAGGCCCCGCCGCAGCCCCCACCTCGTCGCTCCCAGGCGAGTCCATGCTCGAGCCCTTGATCTCAGCCGGCTCTGCCCTCTTAGCCCCTGTGCCCGCCCCCGAGGGACAGTATTCCCAGGCTCAGAGAAAGGGACTCCGCTTGCCGCTGAAGGATGCTTCGGAGGCGTTGCCTCCGGGCCGACTTGAGAACAGTGAATTCAATGAGCTGCAGCAACTTGATCTCACAGACAGGGATGGAAAATCACTGCGGGGGCCTCGGGACGCAGAGCGCGCTGAGAGAGCGCTGGGAGAGAGTAATCAAGAATCCGACTTAAGTGCAGGGGGTCTGGAGGTGTGTATGGCCCCCGAGGAGAGGGGGGGTGAGGACGAGCGAGTCAATAAAGAGACAGAAGACTATTTGAACAGCCTGTTAGAAGGATGCTTAAAAGATGCTGAAGACTCCCTGTCATGTGAAGACAACCAGGAGGAAGACTTGGACCTCCTTCCAGATCTTTCTCCTGACGAAGCCTCCTACAGTCTGCAGGAGGATCTGCCTTCGGACGAGAGCAGTCTTTCCCTTGATGATCTCGCCAAAAGGATAGAGATTGCAGAGGTACGTATGGGATTTAACAGAAGGACGATTAAAAGTACAATGAAATTTTGCGAGCACCTCTCTAAGTAGTGCCTCGTTTTTGTAAATGTTCCCTGTTTCCAGCATGAGGGGAAATCTACTTAATGTAAACTTTTAATAATTAGTAGTTTTGTTTTTTTATATGGATTGAATAAGATGAATTTGATCATGATGTTTATACTTCAAGAACTTTGCATGCCTCCGGGGACGGTAAGTGTTATGAACATGGTTTTTTATACGGCTGTGACTTATTTGACAGTTCTGGAAATTATGATCAAGACAAGATTAGTTACATTCTTGTAAGGAAATCTCATTTTTTCCCCCCTCATAATACATACTCTTATGATTATTGATATATTTTTTAATTCTTTAAAACAGTACAACAGAACAAAGGAAACGTTTTAAAATACTGTAAGACAAGGAGATATTGGGTGGATTTTTTTTTAAAGATTTTATTTATTTATTTGACAAACAGAGATCACAAGTAGTCAGAGAGGCAGACAGAGAGAGTGGAGGAAGCAGGCTCCCCTCTGAGCGGAGTCCGATGTGGGGCTCGATCCCAGGACCCTGGGATCACGACCTGAGTCGAAGGCAGAGGCTTTAACCCACTAAGCCACCCAGGCTCTCCTGGGTGGATTTTTAAGTCATTAAGTTGTACATTGTGAGTTTTCTCTTTCTTGTACTATGAATTTATAAGCTGTAGGTTTGAACAGACTTCATACTTACTGCTTGACTAAGTAAAATATTATACATAATCCAAAGTTTCTCCAAACAGTAATGAAGCTGGTCAAAAGAAAACAAACAAAAAATGGTAGACAGGATCAAGGTGACTATTCTCCTTTTTTTGATAATACAGTTTTTTAAAGTTAAGGGGAAAAAAGGGGGTGCCTGGGTGGCTCCATCAGTTGAGTGTCTGCCTTCAGCTCGGGTCATGATCCCGGGGTCTTGGGATCAAGTCCTGAACAGGGAGCCTGCTTCTCCCTCTCCCTCTGCCACTCCCTCTGCTTGTGCTCTCTCTCTCTCTCTTTCTCTCAAATAAATAAACAAAAATCTTTTAAAAAAAGTTAAGGGGGGGAAAAAAAGCCATATACAAACTGTAGCCCCTTGAGAAGCTGGCCTCGTACAATGGAAAGAGAGGTCTTTGTCTGAGGTCACATACAGACCCAGCAGCTAGCAGCCCTACAGAGTTCCTACTAACCTCTCCATGTTGCTGTTTCCTCCCTTGAAAATTAGGACACTAGCTACTCTTCCTGTTTTTCATCTTACAGTTTTTTCCAAGTAAGCTTTTAAGTCCCATTGATAGCCATTGCTTTCTAATTCTGCATCATCACTTGGGGAGGGAAACGTAAACTTCAAGTAGAAACTGGAAAAGCAGCAGAGCTAAAGTGGGCACCAGAGTTCCCGGGAAGGTAGAGCCCCATGGGAGCTTGTGCGGGTCAGGGGCTGTGAAGTCACTGGCTCCCTGCATTGTCTCCTCTGGTCAGCTCCCCAGAAACTAGTTTTCATTTTTTCTTGACCAAGGTTGGATAGAATAGTAAAGCGCTAGATCCAGTATTCATTCATTTGTTTATTTTAACCAGATTTTTATTACCACTTACAAGTCAGCCTTCTATGAACTATGGTTTTTTTTTTTTTTTCTTCCTAATTTCCTCTTGAAATCATTTCATAGTGCTTAATGAGTGCAGAGGTTCTGTTTGGGCAGATGAAAAAAAATTTTTTTTAAGATTTTATTTATTTATTTGACAGACAGAGATCACAAGTAGGCAGAGAGGCAGGCAGAGAGAGAAGAGGAAGCAGGCTCCCCACCGAGCAGGAAGCCCGATGCGGGGCCCGATCCCAGGACCCTGAGATCATGACCGGAGCCGAAGGCAGAGGCTTTAACCCACTGAGCCACCCAGGTGCCCCTGGGCAGATGAAAATTTTAAAAGTTGCTCCTGGTAGTGGTAGCACAACATTTGTGAATGTAATTAATGCCACTCACTTGTTAAAATTGCAATTCTATGTTAGACATATCTTACCACAATTTCTTCTTAAAGTTAAAAAAAAAAATTAAGTACAGGGGAGCCTGGCTGGCTCTGTTGGTAGAGCATGCAACTCTTGATCTTGGGGTTGTGAGTTCGAGCCCCACCTTTGGTGTAGAGATTACTTAAATTAAAAAATCTTTTTGTTCTTTCTACTATTAATTATTAATTTTTCTATTATTTAGATTAAAAAATCTTTAAAAAAATAAGTATTGGGGCGCCTGAGTGGCTCCATCGGGTAAGTGTCTGCCTTTGGCTCAGGTCATGATCCCAGGGTCCTGGGATCGAGTTTCACATCAGGCTCCCTGCTCAGTGGGGAGCCTGCTTCTCCCTCTCCCTCTCCCCTCCCACTCATGCTCTTTCTCAAACAAATAAAATCATAAATAAATAAATAGTGTTTTCATTACAAAAAAAAATAAACAGAGCCATTAATAAAGCACTGGACCCAGTATTCTTCCCTTGTCTATCTTCATCAGGCCTCTGATACAGGGAACTATCAAAACAGAAGTTACATCTGTATTCAAATCTAGCTCTAATACCAAAAGATCACCCTTCTCTGACCTCTGCTTTTCAAGCCAGTAATTAAGTTGACCCTCTGGGGAACAGACAGGTCTAGTTTTACCTTTTTAGGTATAAACGATGAAAAAGGGTCAGAGCTCCCCTGTTGCACCTCCCTACTTTGCAGAACACTTGTTTTGGAGGGGTGTGCGGGGGCGGGGGGTGGGGTGCTGTTGAACTCACTTGTATTAGAACCAAGTGGAGCATTCCTTCCTCAAACTCATAACATCAGTGTTTCCTACTAGATAACACCTAGCAGGCAGTGGAAACTATTTACATTTTAAAGATTTTATTTATTTATTTGACAGACAGAGATCACAAGTAGGCAGAGAGGCAGGCAGAGAGAGAGGGGGAAGCAGGCTCCCTGCCGAGCAGAGAGCTCTATCCCAGGACCCTGAGATCATGACCTGAGCCTAAGACAGAGGCTTAACCCACTGAGCCACCCAGGCGCCCCGAAACTGTTTACATTTTAAAGTGTCTCTGAATAACTGTGAAGTTATTCAAAGTTATTCAATATTTTCAATATTCAACTTTGAACAGTATTCAAAGTTATTCAATAACTGAAGTTATTTCTTATGCGTGATGGTTCCCTTTCCTAAAATTCTATTATCTTTTAATTTGTGCTGTTTTAAGAACCTCAAAAGATCCACTACGAACAAAACTAATTTCCTTAATACTGTAAGAGTAGAGTTTTGAGCTAAGTAAAATGTCCAGGTGATAGTAGGTTTGCTTGTAAGTGCAAACTTCTTCTTTTTTTTTTTTATATGACAGAGAGAGAGTGAGAGAGCATAAGCAGGAGGAACAGCAGAGGGAGAAGGAGAAGCAGGCGCCTGCTGAGCAGGGAGCCCAATGCAGGACTCGATCCCAGGACCCTGGGATCATGACCAGATCCAAAGGCAGACACTGAACCCACTGAGCCCCCGACGCGCCCCACAGACTCCTTTTTAATCCAAACCGGGTTACATGCTCTCAGCAGAATTCTCCTAAGGCCATCTCCGGTCAGGTGCGGAGGATTCAGTGAGGAATGAGATGAACTTCTGATTTCATCTCTTGGGGGCTCACTTGGGTAATTTTACTAAAATTGTTTTTAGAATATTTTTCATGCTTCGTACTTGAGTGAGTAGGGGATACACAGCATAACGTCCACATGGCTGTCCCGTCCTAGGCAGCCCTCTGGTCTCTTCCCACCCTGCCCTTCCTGTGAGTGACTCTGCCCCTCACCGCCTTCGTCAGTGCTCCCCACTCTTCCGACCTCTGTGCTTTTGGTGGAATGTTCTTTCACTGACAGGTTTTCCCTTTCTACCGGTCTCTCTGCCCTCATTCTCCTGCCTCTTGGGCATTCCTTGGCTCCGGCTGCTGCGCTCCTGGGCCTTGACAACAACCGCCAGGCCAGTGTCCTTTAAACAACCAGGTTCATCCCATCAGATGGAACAGTTCGTGCACCATCTCAGAGAGAACTAAAACCATCTACACTAATTTAACTCAGTGATGCAGAGAGATGTGTAAATGAAACTTTTCTGGATTTGAGAAGCATTTTTAAATCCAGAATAACTTTGCCAAGTAAAATGATAGCTTAGTGTCTGGAGCCCTGATATTCTTTCTTACGTAAAAATGAGCAGGACATGCTCTCACCAGAAGTAGAACAAGCACTGTTTTTAAAAAGCATTAGAAACATTTAAGCTCATAGGTTTTTAATATAAGAAGTTTATCACAGGGTGCCTGGGTGGCTCAGTTGGTTAAGTGTCTGCCTTCAGCTCAGGTCAAGATCCCAGGGTTCTGGGATCGAGCCCCACATTAGGCTCCCTGCTCAGCAGGAAGCCTGCTTCTCCCTCTCCCATCCCCCCTGCTTGTGCTCATTCTCTCTCTGTCAAATAAATAAATAAAATCTTTTTTAAAAGTTTATTACGTGTGCAGCATCAGCAAAGTAGGGAGATTCACTCTTTTGTTCCCTTCTCAGTATTTTTACATAACTTCTGTGTGTACCATGACATCGCAGATGCAGTGACTAAAAATTCAGACAGGGACATTCCATGTGTAAAGCCTGCATTTCCAACAGGTGTCCAACTCCAGGTGTTCTCTGTTGCGTGAATTTAACTATCCTGGTTTTGGGGAAAAGATGAAATTTTATTGCAATGCCCATAATATTCTGACATTATTATTTTAATGTTGGAATTCAAACTCCCCTTACCCAAGGAGCCTGGTAATGCCAAAATTCATTGACTTGCTTGGTACTGGAAACTGGGAGGGCTGTGATAGCTTCTCTTAAAACCCTTCAGCTATTCCAAGGCGCCTGGGAAGCTCAGTTGGTTGAGCTTCCGACTCTGGACATGGGCTCAGGGTTGTGGGATCAAGCCCCACCACAGGCTCCACACACAGTGCAGGGTCTGCTTGTCGCTCTCCCTC